TATAGACTCACACAAAGTCATCCAGATCCTTTGTCCAGTTGAAGCTCATTGTTTCGAACGCACGGGAAGCGAAGGTCCCGCGCTCAGGTCACACATTCAAAAAAGACCGAAAATTGTCCCTCCTGGAACTGCATTCTACCCTGAGTTAGCTCTGTACTTATCAGACAGCTTAGTATCTTCTATATCTGTTCGCATCATTTTTGTTTCCTTTCGTTAGTCAGAAAAATGACAGACAACACAGAGAAAAGAAACTTTCCCACTGGGATCAGCCTTCATTATTCAGTGATAAAGACCACGGGTGATAAACGTCACCTTCGTTGATTCAGTCCGTAAACCATATTTATCGTCCGACTGATTCTTGACTTCTGAACTTCAGACTGAGTTACTGTGACGACCAAAGTCACACAACTACAATCTTCAACGAATCAGTGTGGAACCAATGTCACTAGCATCACATTTTGTAGTGTTTTTTATTTCAGCCTCGTGTTTTGATGCACTCAAAATTGATCAGAAAAAAGGAACGGATTATGAGGATATTTTAAAATCTTAATTCTACTGATTGTCTGGCTGTAATTTTATGGTTTTCAAAGCAGGCTTTGAAAACTGCACTAGTAATTATAACTACGTTAGTTCAAAAAATATATTTTGGTCTATTCGACCATAACTCTGATGATTTCATTAGCCCCTAACCTGCCCATCGCAAAACTGTATTGTGCATCACTCATATTGTTGTTAGCTGAATAGTGTTGTGTACAGGGAGAGATACCCAAAAAAAGACAACTTTCCTGTACGACAGCAGCTTTGCTTCGCAGGCGTATATTGCAAGCACGGATGTTGCAATTTCGGGGGCATTACGTAGAATCAACGTTATCCGAGTGAGACAACATCAGATAACCTATACTACTAAACAAGGGACACCAACAGTTGTGTATTATCTAGATGTTCATTATATCCAATATCAGTGGTTGAAATAATTTGTGTAAGGGGATCTCTGATTACATGTGCCACCCAAATGATCATGTTACCCCTAAAATGTTTTATAACTTGTGTGTTGCTGTTGAGGGGTTGCACATTATTCTACGCGTCGAGGTTACGTGATAACACTGAGTTCATAGATCATTTCCGACTATACATATAACTCCGAATCCCTTGGAGTAGGGTCTAAGTCTGGTCAGAAACAGGATTCTGTTTCTTGTATGATTGTACATTCTACCCGAAAATAGTAAGATCTAAGAACAAGTTGTCATATTACGATGGTTTATGAAGCTCAATACTCCAATCTCACTTACGCCCATAGACTGAGTGAAATGAACCGGTTACCAATAACCTTTGCCGTGAATGCGACGTGTTCATACGCATATGAGTTATTACGACACGCAGCTGCCTTCAAAGTAGATTTCGAGTTGTAATAATAAAGAAGGGCACAATACTCAGTATATATATATATATATATATGTATATGTAGACTAAAAAATGTACAAGGTGTACGAGGAACCTGATGCATCATATCATGATATGAACCTCCCATTGGGTCGAAAGGAGTCAACACTAGATGAATGACTTCTCACTGATCCGTAATGAACTTCACTCGTTTGGATGCCCCTGTAATGTGAGGCTCGTTTGATTCAACATAAAGTTTTTTGCCTTTGTAGAACAACTATCAAAATTTCAGGTTTCTACTGCCAACAAGCTTTCTCTCATCCCGGGAAAGTCTAAGTTTATGTTTACAATAGAGTACTCTTTCACATATTTTTTATATTCGTCATAGAACATTGTGCAACGATTCAGGAAGGGGGTCATGACTAAGAAAAGGCTGTTTAGTTGGAAAATAATCATCGATGGCGGTAAACTAGTTCGGTTCATCACTGTCCAAAGTAAACGCAGATAACCATTGACCACTGCTTTACTATTTGACTATATTTCAGGGCATTTCAATATCTTACTGCCATTCCTGTGCAGGTTCAATTTTGTCCTAGTGCAACACACGAATTTCCAATCACACGCAAAATATCACTGTAGAGCAAAAAAGCATCCCACTTTTTAAATTCTCGGAGTTAGATCAATAAATAACTGACGCATGTAAACAAGATGGACTATGATAACTGAGTTATTTCTCGGGAACAAAATCACTGTCTACAGACACTTATGTGTGACAAACGTAGCAAAATCTTCACATTTCAAACATCGAATCCTCGCACTTGTATAGTTGGGTAATTTGTATGGTAATGAGAATCTCGTCAGAATTCCAGCTTTAGACTGAATATGGCAAGCGTGTGACGATTTACAGCGGAGAGTATTTTCAAAAAACGAAATATTATTTGGCCCTGCGAACTTGAAGTCTCATTTCCCGTTTAGAAGAAGCAAATACGGTTACTAATTTATTAGTGCTTGCTCCTACACCGTGCACTACCTTCAACAGTTTTGGTGTTGTCGAAAATGAGGCAAAAGGGTGGCTCATGAGCCCACTCCGTGTTCTTACACGACAGCTTTGACACAAACCACATAATTCTGTACGCATCATAACAGTCAAGTATGTCCTAGGTTTCACTGCAATTATCTTGATGGTCTGCTTGACCGTAGTAAGCAAATATGTCGAAAATACAGACAGAGACATATATTAGCTAATACCGGTTATCGCAATTATGGCGGAATTCGAACCCTTGAAGGGAAATGTAGAAAGAAATGTACAATCATTCTTGCACGTTAGGTCTGCCCTAATATTCCAGTATGTTTATTCTCGTCGACGTAAAGTACACAATGTTGGTGATGAAATAATGTTCTGTCTCATGCTTCATCACATCTAGCTTTTTGGCTCAAATAGCTGGTGTGTAGATTTTCTTTTCACTACTGACTTCAGACCAGAAGATCTTTCACAATGACGCTCAAATCTGCCATATCAGAGGACAACTGTATGACTCAGATCTTGAAAATTTGCGTGTTAATACAGGTCTTATGGTTAGCAATGCGCCGAGAAATTGTTTTGTGTGAATTTATTTAAAAACCCCTTAGGGAACATAGCGTGGAGCTTTATTCTAAAAATCAAACATCTACCCAGATGACTTATATCCGTTGAATTTGTCAAATATTTGGTAACAACGGTGAGAATTTCTCCACCATTCTTGAAACCCTTACCTGAAGCACAGCAGCCAAATTAGCATGTTTTATTTCCATCTAGATGAATAATGTTGGTTTCCAAGATATATGAGCATCTCACTGGATAATGTATCGGGGAAATTCCTACATCAAATGCCATTTTTATGAGCTTTCCACGGCTTACTGTGAACTAAACGCTCAAATGAAAACTATCTCATCAGCGAACTCATAGAACTCGTGATTTCAATCCTCTGAAAAAATCAAACTTTGCCGTCCTTTGTCGGGCTTTGCAATCCAGCCATCATATCAAGTTATACTAGATGCACTGAAAAACTGCCGCTACCTTGTGTCTGACGTGGAGTGAGTTTTCCACATAAATATTCTGGCTCCGGATGACGATAAGAATTCTCGTCATTGCTTTTGAGGGTGGTGAACATAACATAGTTCTATTCAGTAGATTCGTTAGATCTTCTATGGCTGGAATGTGCGTTAGTGATAACTTTTCTGAGAAAAACCAGCAACTGGTGCTTCTGTCTGCACCGAGATACTGAGCAAGAGAGTCTAACGAAGATCTGAATTAAAATGCCTTTGCAATTCCATTTTGGTCCCTTTTACGGATGTGCAAGGTTGTAGAAAATCTTTTCATCGTTATCGAGATGAAAATATAAGCGAATTACGAGGCGCACCCAGAAAACCTTGGAGCCAGCACCCACACTGATGCGAATTGGAATTCCAATTTTATTTATTGTTTGCAAATCCTGGTAAGGGAGACCAGTTTTAAAGCACGTGAAAATTCTAAATCATAAAAACATTTCTCCCCGTCTTCACGTATAGGCACATTTATGAAAACCATACTGACCGAAAAACGTGTTCATCTAAAATATTTAGATATTGAACAAATGTATATGCAACCCAGATTATTTTTTGTGATTTTATTTCGATGCTTTTTCGCGTTTTAGTTTACTTTGCCTTAGGCTTTTCATTTTGTAACCAAGGTCACACACATTCAACTGCCCATGGAACCGCAAAGGGTCGACGTAAATAAGAGGAACCTCTGAATAAATCAATACCACTATTCAAAGGCTTGATTCACTCAAATAAAATCATGAAGGTCGAACTACCTACTATGTAAATTTCCAAATGCATCACAGTCGGCAATGCCTTTAGGCATATTACCCAAACTACGAGAATGTAACGAAGACGGATCATAGTTCACTTACATTCCCTTCTAAAGATATCCTGTGGGAAAGTGTTCGGAGCCATCCTTTTCATCACGTTTTTAATAATGTCTATCAGTATCACGTAGAAATATGTACTGATCAACAGAACCTACTATGTACTACCATTTTCTGCTGGAATGATGCACATAGGATTGAAATAATGGGGAAAATATGGAGCACTTTATGAATGCGCTAACTGTATTGGACACATATCGTGCCCGAGAAAATGGCTCAGAGCATTAGCAAGTGTTCCAGCTTGATCCAGTAAATGATTGTCTTGAATCTGGGTTTAGATGTTGCGGACAAAACCATGCGCTCAGTATAATGATTTTGATTTCAATGACACCCAAGACAACATTGCTGAATTGGTTTCCGAATTTAAACTCTTGGAAAACGTGTAACAATAGTGAGAATCGACGGCATGTTTTGCGAAGAACGATTGATGATATGGAGTGGTCTGTTGATTGACAGTTCGTGCTTCACCTAAGAAAAACCAGAATGTGCCTATTTGGAACTTACATTGGGCTAATTCAGGTGCCCTTTTTTATTGAAATGCCTTAGAACAAGTAGGCGTTTTCGGTTGTCTGTATATAAACAAACGGTGAAGAGCGACAAACTGTTTTGGTGTCTATTTGTAATCTTATTTTTTCCTACGCCTCTTGAACAACTGTGGGGAACACATTAATTATGCGAACTCTCAATACTTTGGTTATACTGTTACTGATCACCTGTGCTTGTGGACAGGGTAAGTCATGATTTCATTCAAAAAGATTGCAAATATTTTTGGTTCAGTATTATCTTAAATTGAATAAATTTAATCTGATCCTCACCAGTATCATAATTGGTAGTGATGTGGGTTAGAGCAATATACGCCAGTACACGTCATCCAATCAGAGAAGATAAGGAAACATATATAATCATCGTATATAAAACACGAATTCAATGAAATGTGAACAACTGATAATTGTATACGAATGATGAGTGAGGTTGACCTCGATGGTTGTCCACTCGCTTAATTTCGTTCAATCCACGAATATTAATTTTGTAAGAAACAGAACATTCACACAAATAAGGAAGGAGTATAAGTTTTGCAAAAGAAAGATCAGTGTTATAACCACTAAAGTTATGCTTTATGCAGGGATTCGACAATCCAGACATCGCCATTATCTATGGGAAGCAAGGAAAGAGATCGGTAAAACTGAGGAATCTATGAACTGAATAAAGATTCAGTTACGTACTAACGCAGTTCCATCCAATGCATTGGGCAATGAAACAATTGGAAATTATCACAATTTATTGTCTCCATGTGCGCGTCATATGTGTATATATCCATTCAACTAGATGTTCCCTTTAGTATTTTTTTTCTAATTTGCTAGTATCCTGCACATTTATTATCAATATATAACCCCGTATTGCGAACTGAATGCTCATTGCAGTGATTATAATCGAGAACAGCATACGTCAACATATAACGCTTGTGTGAAATTCCAACGAAATTAATCAATTGCAAGTTCTCCCATCTCCTTTGACACCGAATCATTGGAGGCGACCTCCTTGCACTTTCTTTACTCAATCTCACGTTAACCTGTTGTAGCGCATAGCGTGATCAGCATAAGACAGTCAAAGAGACAGGTTGAACCTAATAAACAAACACAAAATGGTTGTTTTTGTGTGTATCCGGCTAGAGATTTCAACTAAACTGATAAGTAACTTTGAATTATTGATATTACTTCATAATTAACTTCATTGATCTGCATGGTAGTTACATAATTGAAGTACTAACTTCGCAATCCGATATGCTGAATCGAACATGAATCTTTCCATCTGTTTCGTCAGAAAAAGATTCCTCCAGTGAGAGTTCAACGACCACGTCGTCGGTACCGACTTCCTCAAAATCGACAGGCACAGCATCCACTGAAAGTAAGTTCAGTGCTTGAATAAATTTCTGTCTATTGATTGCTTAAAACTTGCCTGCACCATGTTGCATGTATATATATATATATATATATATATATATATATATATATATATATATTGTATATATATATATATATATATATATATATATATATATATATGGTAAGAATTTCACACGAGACCGATCAGCCAGTTCGAATTGTTGCCGATATTCCGGTTTCAAACTAACTAGCTGTATAGATTGCCACTTTCTGAAGCTCCATATTATTTGCGAGTTCCTGTGCTGAATTGAAAATACCATTTTCGTTCCCCTTTCAATCGAGCAAAATTGCCAATCGACCGTTTTGTCACTTGAGTTTCCGTTGTCTAATGCCTTGGAATTCGTACCGAACAAAACAAGACTGCTAACGTGACATGTCTGTTCACGGATAATCAGTTAGCCCATAACTCCACAATCTTGATTTATGTCTGCGGATATTCATTTAATGCGAAGTTGGTATTTTTTGTGTCAGTATGTCTAATGCATTTTCTAACACTTTTGCCCTTTACGACTGATGTAGATCAGCAAACGAATCAGGGCACATCAAGTACCTCAGCTGGTGGAAACATGACCACATCGACATCAAGTAAATTCACTCGATTAAGCCATCCCTGGATACTTCTGAATTTCTTCGTTCTAGATCATCCTATACAACAACACATCCTTCTATAGTGCCCATTCATGTCCAACGAATTAGAAGTTATGTTATAAGTAAACATGATGTTCGTTTCATTACAGGTGGTTCGGTGCATCCCATGATTCACACCACTGGTCGGATTTTGTTGCTGTTCACAAGAGCTCTCACCTTCTGATGGTGTATCCACATGGAGCAAGCAGAATGTGCTTCAGGATTATCGCTCAAATGATGTTCCCGTTTCTGTAATGCAAGTTGGTCGTGTGACATTATATTCTGCTCCTAATCATCTCGCAAGTACATGATGCCTGCAGACTAACGTTTCACTATCTTGTGAGCAATCTACACTTCCTGTTTATGCCCGAGACTTCCACTTAAGATTTGGCATCGATTTACGCAAAACTCCAGTCGATCCATGAATAGGTCATACCGCAGTTCACAAAGACAAACACTTACGATATAGCCAGGTCAAGAGGTGATAACTAAAATCGAATTCACTGAAGCCAATCATTTTCCTTCTGCGTTCGGTACTCGGATATCCAACCGAACAAGAAAACCACGAAAACTTTTCATCTCCGGTTTAGATTGTGTATCGCTTACCACTGATAATGGGTTACTGGATGATTGGAAACAAATTAGATTTAACTCTCTGCATTGCATGACTTTGCCTTACTCGATATCATGCAGTGCTGGAGTACTTCTAGTGAAACGATCTACTTCAAGTTTGTGTTCTAGCGACGGTTCTATATACTCTGTATTTGACTTAAGATATGGTGTGCCTTTGGTGACGTAAACGATTTATGGAAATCCTTTTGTTCCAAGAAAATGAAGGTTTCCCTCTGGACGGGTTCTATGGGGTTGAACTAATTTATGGGTGCTTTTTGGATCAGGTGTGCTTCCTCGACGAGATAGACGGGTCACTGGTATAAAGCTGTTATTCAAATGTGTTCAGTGAACAGCAATTTCCCTGTTTTCACAGTGCAATTTACATACCAGAAACTATAAAGTACAGTCGATAAATCGCTGCATGCAGGGAGTCTTTGGTTCGATTGCAAGTCGAAGTTGTAGAATTCGTACAACAGTTGATCTAAATTCATCTAGATTCTTTGGGGTGAGAGCATGTTTCCGGACGGTGCTCAGTAAGTGCAGTGACTAGTGTGATTAATGTGAGTAATAGACGTATAAAGAAAACCACCGGATACATATCACTTCCGCTACTCAGTAACAACGTTGAGGCATATTCATGCAATAAATACCGTGTGTATCGTGAGTTCAAGAATGAAATGCGCAGACTGTCTCAGGTGGTCCGACCTTATCCAAAAGAAGGGCCGAAAGTAGGTCGAAATTTGTCTGACAGTGCCGTTGAAATTAGGCAGTCTATGCCTATGTTCACTTCACAGATAACATTTGCAAATTTGAAATTCTGATGAATCGTAAATGTCGATTTCGTTGATCATGATTGCGGGTAGAGAGTCTGCAGACATTTTCGGCTGATGCTGTAAAAGCTCCAAACCAACCACTAACAAAATTATCAATAGCCAGTTTATAACTAATGAACTCCTGGTGAAAGTACGTCATTCTTGCACACTGTTTATAAGAATAACATGAGAGGAAACCTACTAATAATGCAGATAGCTCGTAAATCACTTGTGTCTGTTTTCCTGTCCTTCAAATCCCCATTATTCTACAACAAAGAAAACCATTGCAGGTAGATTCCTGATCGCATATCCTAATATATTGGAGAGTGCACTTCACATTTAGAATCCAGTAGGAACAGACGAAAAAAATGTTTCGCAAGACAAAATTTCGCATTGAATTCAATGGAAAGTCAGGTTTGCCTGACTAGTACTACAATCGGTCGAAGGTCATCTAAACGCTTGGGGTACAACCACTTTTGTAGACGGTGCTCAAGAGGTATAGGGATTTCCTGGAAAGAATAACTTTTGGGATGGAGAATTGCAGCACTACCATCGGAAGGTTATTTGCGGGCATGTTTATATACAGTGGAAATACTCACACAGTTACCTAATACTGAGGGCACAAGGGTGAAATTATTGATGAAGAAGTATTGAAGTGGATGGAAAATTCCATGAATTGTGTACTGTCAACAGTATGAGTATCAGGTAAAAATAAATCGAAAGGGTTCAAAACTGCATGTACTGATTGCAACAAGAGAATATTCTATTGGAACTATTGTATAAATTATAGGTTTAAACAGGAAATGTTCATGAATATTTTAGCATACCGATTCCAAACCGCCGAAAATCAGAAAACCGAAGAATACCACCATTTTAATTTTATTTTCGCTATTATTTAACATAGCATTGTCCTATACTCATGCAGTCGGACGAAACTTGTTTTGCCGTGGATAGTTTGGGTTTACCATCAGCTGCACAAACTGTCTCGGATGATTCGACCCAACAAATTGAGCGAGAGCATATTCTCAATAATGCTTTCAATTTGGTCGTTCGTGTAAGTCAGTACACTGGTGTATCATTTCTGACTTACTATTTATATTTATCGAAATAATGTTGGTTTGTAAATGCCGAAAAGTTTCTTTAAAAGCTGCAAAACATGTCAAAGTGAATAAAGAACAAGTACTTTTGAGATCACGTTCCTAATAATCTTCTGGTTGGACAGTGGTAAGTGAAGCAGTTATAAAAGTCATTTTGTGATAGCAACCGGATTCTAGGGAATAAGTGAAATTCATTGAGATTTACCTTTTGATTCATAGAGCGCGTAGTGGGCAGTCCGAGTGATTGAATTGTCATGCCCGAAGTACACGTAAAATGGTGGAAATTGGTACCTGTACCTGTAGTTTATATGCTCAAAAGCAGTTTGCTTTATTACAGAACCTTGGTTTTGCGTGCGCTAATATATATCTAACCCACTTCAAATCGTTCACTTCCTGCTATGAGGTTCTTATCAGATTGCTAAAACTGACCATTTTGAATGTCACACTAATGTAGTAGAAATTGTCCACCTTGTTCATTCACGAGTTTCGCACAGACAATTTGTAGACGAAATATACAATTACACTAAGCCAAAAACGTACTTGCAAATGAAAATGAAATAATGCAGAACACTCACTAAAATACCGGTAGCTTGGATAAGTTTGTTCAAATGTTTTTTGAATTTTAAACGTATCTTGCGCGAGGATACTTCTACATGCTCAAAATGTACAATCGAGTAAAGGCTAACCCATGGTTACACCAATTGCATGATATCTCTGTCCTAATCACAGAGATTTCTTTTTGGTAATACCGTTAGGCGGATTCGGGACAGCCGTGGTGTCAGATCGATTTCCTAACAGCGTCAACCAAACCACCTCCAATGTGACTTGAAAGTACACATGAATGTGTGTCTGAACATCATTTAGATAGTACGGTATAAACGTACACTGTGATGGCTTGTTCGAAATATTCGGAACTGAGTGTGGTGAGCCTCAGGGAAGCAGTTTGTTTCAAAAGCGGGGACATTATTTTGGCGAAACGTTCTCGAGAAATGATGCCGCAATGCAGTACAAGTAATTAAATGGGAGAAACAAGTTAGTATGTAACGGATGAATACATTCGTGGCTAATTTTGTTGGCTTGATTTAAGAAAAACTGATCGATTTCTGTCAAAAGAGAATCAGTGAATGAATATAAAAAGCGACTTATAATTTCCAAGCTTCGGCGTAGAGGCCATAGTTCGCGTTCAGGATGGCGGGGGACATTTGCAAAGTTATAGTTTTCCAGCATAGTATTACCTTATCGAAATACGAGATTGGAAACGAGTAGCTGTGGTTTCCCAAACTGTCCGATTTTACGTATTTCGAAAGAGAGGTAAGGCAGCTTTGAAGCACAGTGTCAAACGTGAACGGTCCATTGTAAATTGCTATAAATGTTCAACCCCCGACACTTAGCAGTGCTCACTACAGATAACGATCCGGAGTGGGAATCGCTGAACACATTCAGTATGTCTAAAGTGGTTTGGTGCTAAACCAACCAGATGGGGAGATGATCCATGTTGGGTGGGTTTTCAATGAACATCGTGAAATCGGAGAGGTCGGAACAAGGTTCAGAATTATTCAGCGGAATTTTGATGTGTTCAACAAGCTGGGCACACCCATGGCTGGAAATATTATTCGAGATCTCCCGAACCTGAGGCATATGGAACTTCCGACTAGAGAAGAATCTCAAATACTTCGGGCGTAGAAAATTTCGAAGTCCGTTCTGGCTTGTGGAGAATGTGAATAAGCACACTGGCTTGATGAATATAATAAACTCGCGTTCAGTTGTTCCAGATCAATGTCATCTTTCAGCTGTTAGTTTTTGGAACACCGGGTAGCTTGTACCTTGAAAATGACATCATGGGCTACTGAATCTGACGAGAATTTTGGAAGGTGACAAATCCGCTTTAATGCCTGTACCTTGCTAACCTACGGGTAGCTTTCGAATTTGTGGGCTCCGCGAGACTTGTAGGCGCTTTCTATTCGCTTTCTTGTAGACATTTTGGCGCAGAGTCCACCTTGTCTCCCAATAGAAGTAAAGTTTTACTTAGACAACATATGTTGAATATAGCGTTGAGAGTAACAGTAAGGGTTTCAGCGACTCGAAAGAGTAAATGAGAGGAGAACCACGAACAAGCATTGCCAAAGGCAGCTATCCGTGTAGAGTTGCTGCTGAGCGAAAGGTTTCGGAGGCTAAAAATTCACCCAACTGGTGGTTTTTTGATTAATGTACAGGCAGTATGTGAACTATTTTGTGCCTTAGATATTAGGTAAGGAGTCTTGTAGGAATAGATGTGTTCAATTTATTAGTGAATAACTGAGGATGATTGGTGACTACTTCATCCAAAACAGAATCTGTTCGCATGGTGGAGTGGTTGATATATAATAAATAGAACAGAATTCTGGGGTATGTTCTGAAAGGAATTAAAGCAACAACAGAATTATGTAAGAATTCATCCAAGAGAGGAACTAGAAATAGTATTTATGTGCCGTAGACAGAGTTGATGTGTGACTGTGAGTAAATAGGGCACATATAAATGATGGTTACTGTAATTCTAAAATGATCAATTCTGAGAAGACTGCGATTATTTTTACTGCTCCAAGATTCGTTGATCTGGATCACCACCTCACTTCCACTTTTCATCCTGGTCTGTAATTTATCTTTACGGCAGAACTGAAAATTGTCAGTGCGTAACAAATCGTCATCGATATTCATCTTCAGCCAAGATTTTCGAACACAAATTGCACAATTATGAACATGACTTCGTATGTTCGTGTATTCGAGTGTGATCTAAGTACGATATGCTTGTGAAACGTTATCAAACTTCCACATTGATCACAGAGGGCACAGTCATCTTAGTTGGAAGCGTGCGGCTAAGACCAGCTTGCCATCCAGGTCGTTTGCGTGCTTCTGTCCAAATTCAATCTCTGCCAGGCATATTCAGCTAAGACCCACTCGGCGCGCATGTAAGAGAATTCTCGGATGCACCGTTTCGAGTGGGAAATCGGAACGATGTAGGGATCAGACTATTACAAGGACAGTGATGACAAGCCCAGAGTGACGTAAAGAGAAGATATGGAGCACATCTAGTTGTATACAGAACAAAACGGATAAGCTAAACAGCAGCTTTCATGTAGAGCTTGGAACAGTCAACTTCCCAAGAGCAGCCGAACGCAGAATTTCAGTCAATCAGTGAGCAATCAGATTACAGTCATTTTATCGACCTAAACACGGATAAGGCCACACAGCATCACCACTCTCCTCGAAAAATAACACTCACGAGGAGTGACAAATAACTGATTGAGAAAGTCGATTTGATCATCTTGGCTTTACATCAACTAAAGCAACCAGTATAGAAACTGCTCCTGTCGTTTAACGAAGGTTTACGATTTCTTATGGTATTGATACTTTGTATAGATGCTTTGAATTTACTTTGTCTCGGTCTCCAAGTAGATCATTTCCAGGATCACATAATTCAACTATCTTGAGTGGTAGAAATCGATTGTGGAAATATTTCCGTGTGGTGTAGTTTTTCTCGCTTTTATAGCTGCCTGCGGTCAGCACTGATGCTTCCCCGCTGTACATTCGTTTATAAACTGATAGTCGCTTTTTATATGGCTCCTCAACTATGATGTGCAACTGAATTGCAGCATTCAGCTTTGTCCGAATGGACTGGTCAAAAATTAACTCAGCTGATGTTTTATTTGTGTCCGTGACGGATGTGGTTATGCATGAAAACAGCGTTCTTTTACCCGAGTCTTCCCACCCAAAACATCCTTCAAAGACAGGTTAATGCTCTTGACCATGCCACTAGCAGCCTTGTTATATGGTACACTTCTGCGGTGCTCCACGGCTTTACCATTCAAGAGTTCTTGAAACTCATGACTAGTGAACTGAGGACCATTGTGAGTCACAACTTGGGCAGTTGGTGGCTACTGAACATGTACTTAGGTCATTGAATCACGCAAGCTGTAGTCCCTTCACCATATAGCTGACCTTCAGGCCACTTGTTGTAACATCAGATATCTTTTTTGGATGGATGCGTTACTGAAAGGCCACATGAAGCTAACAGCAACCTTGGATTTTTCTTATCAGAGGAAATTTTATTATATGAATTGGAGCCAGGGTTGGACTAGCATTCTTATCCACTTGTTGGCCAGCCAAGCAGTTAGGGCGTAGGCTTCAGTGATGAACAACTTTCGGGGCCACAAAAAATCTACTTCATTATCTGTGTCCTCTCCGCATAATGGTAGCCGTGAAAGATGTTCAGCTATAAAGTTTTGACATCCAGGTCAATACTCAATGCAAACATTATGATACAGAGGTCGAGCGCAGCAGTGAATAATCTGTTATGGAAGATGGCCCTTCGACTCACGGATAAAAAGAACCGACAGAGCCGGGTGATCCACAGGCAACCTGAAATACCGACCGAACAGAAAAATATGCCTTTTTTGCAAGCCCAGATGAAAATGAGAGCTTTTTCTTCTCCGGCAGCATACTTCAACTAAGTTTTCAGTAATTTATGCGGAGCATATGCATCTAAGTTTTACACGCGCCCTTGCATTTGAGAAAGAACCACGCCCAAATTTAGTTCTAAAGGATCCGTAATGACGTAGATCATACAGTTTGGATTGTAGGTTTCTGCATAATTCCAATTTTTCATGATTTTCATTGACCCTTGATGCAACTCTCCTTTACTACACAAACGTTTCATTGTATACAACACACACACACACACACACACACACACACACTTTCGAACAAACATCACCATTGCGTAATACAGAAGTGCCGCCAATAGGTTCCTCATTCTGATACGATCTCGCTTTGTGCTGTTAATGATCTTGGAATTACATCCATCAGATCTAACTGTGACGAACGAATCATTTCAGAGGCTTCATCGAGGTCGCTTGCTACTCGTTTGGATGCCTTCTCCATTGACTCGACAAACCCCTATCGGAGTGAACTGAACTGGACT